AAACGCCTTTGATTGTCGACTGCGGAGCATCCAGACTACCGCACTTAGCTGACAAACATCTGATTGGCTCAGCGCAGCAGCCATTTAAATTTAAATAAAGCCACGATTATTTAAATTGCGGCTTCATTTCCCTTTGCCCATCAGCCTAATCTACATGGCTCCATCGATGGAGACATTTAGTTTAGACACACCCTTAGAGCGTGCTTGCTTATAATGGCTTCAAAGCTGGGAGTCCAGCACCCTGAGAGAGGGAAGAAACGGGTGTTTTCCCTATGGAAGTCAGCCTCGCCCAGGGCAGTGCGTATCAGAAAGAGGGCTCTGTGTGCTATGGTGTGGATCTGCTGCCCAGGGTCTCTCTCAAACGCCCCCCAGTTAGCAACAGAGGGCTGGCAGATCTTATAGGGGGCTCCCTCCTCTCTTGGCTCCAGAATGGAGAGTGATTCTGGAGAATGGGTCTGGAATGGCCACTCTTCCTTGTCCTGAGGGGTTGAGTGTGAATGGTGTCTGTGTTCCCTGGTGCCTTACGTGCCAGCCCATGTCAGACATACAATGTGGATCACAGCTTCCACATAATGTCCAGGTGTTGGTAATGTGGCCCTAAATGGGGGGGCTGGCTAAAGTGTCCTTTCTGGATACTGCTGGTAAGTGCTCTGTCCAGGCTGCAAATTGCTATCGTGCTCGAACCTGGACAGAGCCCTTGTCCACATTGCTGAGGGGAAAAATCTCGTGTCCTGCTGGGCATGAGCCTGTCTCAGCACGGGCGCAACCAACACTGTTCTGTCCCCGTCCCCCCCCAGAAAACCTTGCAGTGTTTGCGATTGTGTTTCTGGAGCCACTGGTGAGCTTGCCAGAAGTCCCCGGGATCTCTTGTTATTGGGCTCTATGGTGGCGCGCCCTCTTGAGGTATTTGCCAGCACTATTGCGTGTATTCCTTGCTGGCAAAGCCAGCTGGGCTTGTGTTTCCCAGGGAGGTGTCATTTGGGAACCGCCATGGGCCAACGGCTGCATTCATTTCGCTTGCGTTCACGTTGTTGCACTAAGATTAAGGCTGGCGCCTTTGGGGGGTACTTGGCACATCCGGTTGCTAGACTGGTGATATTGCTCCCTGTGGAAGGGCAGCATCAGAGCCTGTGATGTTTCCTGGACACACCCACGCAGGGACATTGATCCCCACAGTCTGGAGAAAGTCTTTCTGCATGGCTGCTGCCTTTGGAGCTCATGGTACAACTCCCCTAGATCCATCAGTAAAGGAAACCCCCTTGATTAAACACTGGTGTCTGTTCCATGTGGTTCCCGCCAGTAGAGGGCAGTGTTGCCCATCAGCACAACAGCTCTGTCCGACAAAGACACACAAGGCTCCTGGGCTTCAGGGTGGCTGCCTCAGCACTGGGAGGGATAAGAGTTGACTGCTTCTTTTGGCTCTTTTCTCCTTGTACCTTCTAGCTTCCAGGGCTTATGGGGGATGTTCTCCATCTGTCTTCTGCTTGGAGCCAGGCCCACAGCAGGAGCAGCCAGCCGGGCTGTTGTGTAACAGAATAGCCTTGCTGCGGAGAGAGCATGGGTGGGAGGATGTGGGTGGAAAGGGCAGGGAGGTTGCTGGAAATATCCGATTACTCTCTCCCCAAATGAAATCCTACAGCCCATGCTGCTTAATACTGAAAAAGTGAATGAATGGCCCGGACTCATTCTGGCGCCGAGGGGAAAGAAAACAGGGAGGGGGGATGCTTCATTCAGAAAAGGAGTGGGGGCGGAGGGGTTATCGCTGGAATGAATCGGGGTCCCCTGGGGACTGTAATCCAAGAAGCCAGAGCACACGAGAGCAAGTGAGCGCGAGGTTCTAATTATAGCCCTGCTGCAGAGCAAACACTGCTCTCCCGGTGCTGGGACAAAGCGCCCGAAAAGCAGGGGAGGGAACGAATGAATGAAACGCTCTCTCTGGCAGGACAAAGAAGAGGATAAAGAGATGGTGAGCGGATGTCGAAGGTGAAAGCTCCTATTCATTCTGGCAGCTAGGAAGGCAGGGCTGCCTGGCTTGCTTCCCATCCTGGAGCCATCCTGGGCATTCCTTGCTGCCTGGGACTCAGGCAGCCTGCCCTTGGAAGCATGGCAAATGTAGACATGCAGCAACTCAGGCTGTCCTTGCGCTGGCAAGTGCCATCATCACCTGGCTCCTTCAGGGTTACGGCCCGGTGGTTAAAGCAGGGGACCCCTGGGTTCTGATCCTACTCCACCACAGACATGCTGTAGCTTTTTGGCAACAGCTGAGTGTCAGTTGTGCCCTCCGTGCAACGTGGCTGAAAGCTCTTCGCACCTGTGGATGAGTCTGGCTCAGCTCCATGCTGGCCAGATACAAAGGCTGTGCCTAGTTGTGGAAGCAACGTCGCAGCCACAGGCGTTTGCCACAGAGGGCAAGGCTATGCCAAACATCTGTCCTTAGCAGTCTGCGGTACTCTGAGACCCATGGGGCAGAGGCTGTGCATAATGGGGCCTTGATTTTAGCTGAGCCATCAAGGTGCGACTGTCCTCTGGAGAACGAAAGCAGGTGGAGGCTCCAGCAGAAAGCTTTGATTGTACCAAAGGCTTTAAAAACCAGCAAAGACAACTTTAAAATCCCCCTCCTCTCACCAGAGGCAGGTGGCACAGTAGGGCCCAGGGTGGGAGTGCTGGGGAGGAGGACCTTCGGCCAACGGGCAAGCTGCGTCTTGAATGATCCGCCAGTGCAGTGGAGCCTGGTTGAGAGGAGACAGCAGCAATCCAGGCTGCAGGTCCATTAGGGCCCGTTTGCAGCTCCAAGGTCACTGCGGCATGAAGAAGTGCAGAGCCCTGCGTAAATTGCACCATGAAGGGAAAAGAAACCTCTCTCGCCAGCCGCTGCAGGAGCCAGCTCAGTCAATGGGGATGTGACCGGAGCCACCCTCCTGGCTGTGGCCCCTAACGCAGCAGCAGCACTTCTGCTTTCCCAGGGTCAGAGAAGAGGAAGTCGCACTGCATTTAGCTGGCAAACTTGCCCAAGCCCTCCCTCTGGAGCAGAGATCCAGCTACCAGCATGGAGAAGTAATTATTGCTAATGCAGCCCCGTTCCCAGGGGTGGAGTGCCTTGCATGCCGCCGGCTAGGCAATGAGAACCCATCCGAGAGCAGAATGGTGTGAGCTGGATTTCATGCCCAGATGTGGGTGTCAGTGGTACAGATCCTCAAAGATGTCTCGGAGCTTCACTCCCACCCCAAGTCATAGGAGTTGAATGCCGAAGCCCCTCCGAAGGCCTGTGCTAATGCGCCCTTCTCCTGTCGTTCGCTCACAGGTGCCACAAGGTGACATTCAAAATGTGTACTATCCCGCGGTGTATGTGTGCCTTCCGACTCCAGGGAAAAGCTAGTTGGGGGCAACACGCGGGGTGCTTCTCACAGCACCCTTTGCTGTCCAGTTGGCAGGGCTCACATAGAGTCTTCTCAGCATTTAAGAACATAAGAACGGCCATACTGGGTCAGACCAAAGGTCCATCCAGCCCAGTAGCCTGTCTGCCGACAGTGGCCAATGCCAGCTGCCCCAGAGGGAGTGAATCGAACAGGTAATGAGCAAGTGATCTCTCTCCTGCCATCCATCTCCATGCTCTGACAAACAGAGGCTAGAGACACCATTCCTTATCCATGCTGGCAGGGCCAGCTCTAGGCTTTTTGCCACCCCAAGCAAAAAAATTTTTTGGCCGCCTCCCCCCCTTTTTTCTTGTTGGCTTTTACACATCTTTGCGCTTTGCAATGTTTTTTGTTTGTTTTCGTTTTTGTCCCGGCTTTTTAGCCCTATAAATAGCAAATATAATTGTAATGATTTTTTTTTCCATAAAGGCAAAGGCGCTTGCAGGTAAACTCCCCCTCCCCTTTCTCTCACTGCTGGGTCACAACAGCCTTTTCCCTGTCCTGTCCAGCCCCTCCCTATGGACAAGCACCCCTCACTCCCGACCCACAGGGAGAGCAGAGTGCAGGGACAGCACAGAGCCAGAAGGGTATGGCGAACAGGGGGATCAGGGTTCACCGTGGGGAATGGGAGGTGCAGAGCCAGAGGGGTGCGGGGACCAGAGGGAGCAGGGGGACTGGGGTGC